ATATATCACCTAAGACATTTCAAGCCTCAAATGCCAATTTAAATTCTAAAAATTCGTGGATAAGTAATAGAAAAGACCCAAAAGAATGATTGTGCTCAATATAACATATATAATAGAAAAATTTCCACATTTCATGTATTAGGATTCAAAGGCTCAATCTTGAAGCCCAGATTAAACTATTTAAAGGAGCATCCAAATTTAGGCTAGCATTACAATTTAAGGAAAAACACACAATTTGTACCTCACTGAGACTCTGATTCAGACATTCTTTACCTTAAAAAGAACCATCTTCACAGGAATCATAACCGTTTCTCTTTTCTACAGATTCAATCAAGTTCTCTTCTTTTTCACTCTTATTCTCTCCACTAACAAACCCATCTTTGTTGCTTTCACTATCTCTTGAAACATAGTTTCCAAAATCATGGTAAGTATCCAATACAAAGGATTCATGCTTGTAACTTGAAAACCAGTTCCTGATGTTCGGAGGCTCTGATATTAAAACCAAAATCATAAACTTTTACATAATCAGATGGAATTTCCATCACATTGTTTGATTGCCAATTAACCCTAACACAAAATCAAGATAATTTGAGTAAAAACAAATACTGACCAGAAGGGATGGAGCTTGAATCACCCAAAATCTACAACAAGAAAAACAATATTGGGTCAACAACCAGAGTAAGAATACTGAAAGCGATCACTATAATAACCAAAATTATATATATTTATTTTCCTTCGTTTTCTCGAAAACCAAACAAGAAATAAGATCAATACACACATGAGAATCAAAATTATCCATGAAATCTCTGGTTCTTTCTCCAAGCCGAAATCAAGGTAAACCAAGAACTTCATTTTTTTTTTCCGATCTACAAATTAAAAAAATTGTTTTTGATCTCCCTGTTAACTGTTGACTCAATGCACTCCAAGAGGGGGGGTGAATTGGAGTTGGAGAATTTTTGCCTCTTTGCAACCACCAAACAAAAATTAAAGAGAGGGTTGAGAAAAAGAGATTGCACAATGATTTTATAAAGGTTCGGTCCAACCACTTTGAACCTAGTCCTCTACCTTGGCTTCACTCACCAAGGATTTCCTCCACACTCTCCACTAGCAAAAACAATGGTGGCTTAAAGGAGCCACTCAATCCTTTACAAGAAGAAGGGTTTCTCTCAAATCTCACCCCTTTACAATGTAAGCCCCACAAATCCTCTCAATATATCACTCTTGAAGGAATCAACACACGCCCAAGATCACTCACTAAAAGCACAAGAAGAGGATTACAAGAAATGATCACTCAAAGATCAAAAACTCAAGTTAAAGCTCAAGTAGGTAGGTAAAGATATTCAATGCAATGTTCTCTAAACCCCTTCACATCTGTTACCAACCATATTTATAGCCCCTTGCTCGAAAATAGCCGTTACTAACCGTTGGGGGTCATTAAATGTTCTGCAGGACGCATGGCTCGAGTTACAGAACTGTCATGAGAGCCGGCTTAACTTTATAAAGCCGGCTCTGGTAAGCCGGCTCACCATTTCTGCAGCCGGCTCTGCGGGTTTCCTGCACTTTCTGTTTTCCTCGAGAGCCGGCTGCAAGACTTTGAGCCGGCTTTGCAACTTCGACTTTAAATACATTAAATAATCTTCAAATGACTCGACCGTTGTGCATTAAATGCACCCTCACAGCCGGTTGCAAATCCAGAGCCGGCTTTGCGTCTTTTCTCCGCGCGTGCCAAACAACGGTCTTCAAACTTTTGCCCGTAGAGCCGGCTGCAGCTTCTAGAGCCGGCTCTCTGCACTTCCATTTCACCACAGCCGGCTGCACTTTACAAGAGCCGGCTCTCTGCACATTGAATCCTTTTGGTCTATTTTTAGTGCCATCCAAGTTTACTTGCAATCTTTTAGCAACTTAACTACACACTTAAATAAACCAATTAGTCATTCAAATGTGTTTTGTAATCATCAAAATCATAGGTACAACATTAACAACCTATTTATAGGGGGTAAGAGGATGCCCTAAACCCATGTCTGATCCTACCCTCATAACCCTCCGATTTGCCTTCTTTGAACTCCATCGTCGGGTCACACAAGCCAAAATTGACCTCCGACCATGGCTTTTTTCTGTGGGTAAAGGAAAGTACAAGGAGCGGGATCAAACAAGAGCTTTGAGTCTTCTTCTGGTGGTCTTTTGGACGGCCAAACGTCTAATTAAATTTTGGGTTTTTGAGTTCGAATGCGTTCGAATGAATTTTGGAGATTTGTGGAAGGAAGCTCGAAAATTAGAGAGGGTAAATGGGGAATCCATGGAGGGAAGTAAAAATGAAAGACAACAACGAAGGAAAATAAAGTGCCTAAGGAATACACTACTGCAGGAATGGGATTTCCGAACCGAAATATCGGTCCGAATATATAGGAAATCGGTCTGAATATATATATCCGGACCGTTATTGGTCCTTATAGTTGATTCGGAAAAACCTGGTACTAATAAGTCTAATATACAGACCGACGCATAATCGGTTCGTATATATATAATGTTCGGACCGAAATCGGTCCGTATATTTCAGTAAGAAATATAAATAATTATTGAGAAATTGAAATAAGCGGACCGAAATTGGTCCCAAAAAAATAATATAATAAAATAATAAAATATATACGAACCGACAACGGGCTGTAACTGTGGGGGGAAGAGGCATCGCAAATATATACGGACCGGTATCGGTCCGAATATTGAGGACCCAGCTGCAACTTTTAAAACTTGCAACTATATACAGACCGGTATCGGTCCGAATATTTTGGACTTGCTTGTAACTCTTAAAAGTTCCGTCTCCCAACCGGCGCCATTGTATAAACATATACAGACCGGTATCGGTCCGAATATTGTGGACTTTCTTGTAACTTTTAAAAGTTCCGTATCCCAACAGGCGTCATTCTCAAACTATATACAGACCGTTTTCGGTCTGAATATATAGGACTTACTTGTAACTTTTAAAAGTTCCATCTCCCAACAGGCGTTATTCTCAAACTATATCCACACCATTTTCGGTCCGAACATATTGGACTTTCTTGTAACTTTTAAAAGTTCCGTATCCCAACAGGCGTCATTCTCAAACTATATACAGACCGTTTTCGGTCCGAACATATAGGACTTACTTGTAACTTTTAAAAGTTCCATCTCCCAACAGGCGTCATTCTCAAACTATATCCACACCGTTTTCGGTCCGAACATATTGGACTTG